TTTAACTTCCAGTTAATCCATTAAGCATTTTGGTTTATTCCTGCCAACATTATTTAAACTTTCATTCACTAAAGGTAGCTAAAATTTATTTTAAAGGCATTGTGTAAGTTGACGCTTTCTTCATTTACTGACAAATTTCTTTGAGAATACTTTGTGTGGAGGCAAAATATATAACGTCGTTTCAATCAAATTAAAACAAAACATGAAAGCCTTTTACTGAAATTTACTGAACTCTTAAGAACCACTTAAAATTATTTGTAGACTAAGTTTATATTCAGAACCTTTTTAGGGATTCGTGGTAGAACTAGGAATCCTTATTGTTTCGCCACCTCCATCTGTCCATCCGTTCGTATGCTGTTTAGCTTAGAGACTGTTAGTACTGGAAAGCTGGAGTACTGGAAGCTATAAATTAATAATACTAACGAAGTAGTACAATAAAATCTCTTGAGTCCGTTTTAAAACTTCATTGGCTGTTAAGCAGTGAATATATAAAGCCCGTTCTAAATCCGCATGTGGAACTACGGAACTCTACGTTGAGCGTGGCCCGACACGCACTTGGCCACTTTTCATAATAAGGACTACCAAGAATAACTTGAGTACCTACTGCTATTGTGTTGGCGAGTGTATACTTATTTAATAGGGCACAGTTTGAGTGGCGACTCAACATCTTTTATATGGAACTAGCATTTGCCCACGGCTTCCCTCGTCTTAATGCAGAAATTGATTATTGTTTATTAATGAGTTTAACAAGCATTTGGTTTTGAAGTAATCTAATGAGTTAATGTTTGTTTGACTGATATACTTAAGAACTAATGAGTTTATTTAAAATTTGAAATTTCAACCACCACAGGAAATTATACCCTCCTAAATTAAAAATGCGAAATTATGTCTATCTGTTACCTCTTCACGTTTAAACCACTGACCCGTTTTATTTTGGTATAGAGATAGTTTAAGTCCAGGGAAAGGACGAAGGAAAGTTTATTCCAGAAATCGTCCTTTTAGGGAGTTGAAAAGAGGAGTAGAAGTTTGTATGGGGAATCAATAATCGCTTAATCGATTCAGATGAATTTTGGAATGGAAATAGTTTGTTTCTTGAGGAAGGACGTAGGCTACTATTAGTAGGCTACCGATAACCGTAGTCAGTTCATAAATGACGAAAGGCTCAAGGGGCGACAGACGACAGGGATGCATTTTTCGGAAATACGTTAACAGTTACAGGAACTTTCCCCGGCTATCCATTGGTGACCTTGATCACAACCTTGAAGGTTATATCAAAGAACAAGGGTGATTTTCAAATGGGATTGCATATTTTTGAGAAATTACAATTGGATATGACCTTATGTACGCAAGTTTTGACCTCTAAACGTCACCAATTCAAAGAATCACAAATCCTTAATTGGTGGATTTGTGATTCTTTGAATTGGTGACGTTACTCACAAACCCATAGGAAATTGATTATTCTCTTCAGCTAAGAGACAAGCTACAAGATTCAGGGATTTTTCCTGGCTATTCAGTGGAGAATTAGATTATGAATGGGTAAACTTTGATCCGGATTTCGGGGTCCATTTAAGGGCATGGTCATATTTTTTAAATAGGAGCCTGATTTTATTTAAAAATTAAAGAATCACAATAACACAGGTGATACTTTGTCGTTAGAAAATTGTCAAATCTACTTTATTGAACAGTAAATTATCATGACATATTGTCTGCAACTGCAGTCATAAATATATAAAGTAATATTAGGTTAAAAAATGTAATGTCAAGTTACGTACAAGTACCTATTGAAATAGGTTTAACGAGAAATACTTGGCGAGAAAAACCTTTCAAGAATCATCGTGTCATCTATTTATGAAAAGCTATTAGTTATTTGAGATGTGTCGGTGTAATGTTTTTGATATATTTGTGAAACACCCACGACATCTGTCGGATTCAGATCTCAAGAGAAAATAAGGTAAAAACAATGAATAAGGCAACGTATTTGTGCACTTTATCGCAAAAAATTGTATGAAATTATACATATAAAACAATCTGTACTATAATGAAATCCATGTTGACAGGCTCTTGAAAATAATTCAAGTAGTTTTGTCAGTTTAGATGCTGATACAATCTGTAAAAACGTTTAAAACTAGTGATTGACTATATCTCAATGTACTACAACCTCTTCAACTTGCTCCAAGTTTTATTTATATGTAAATAACACTTTAATAAAAAAATCTAAACGTGTCATGTTAGGAATAATACCAAACGTCAAGGTTATTTCTAAGAAACAACTCTTGGTCTGAGGCTTCCCTCGCGTAAAAATATTTTTTCAGAAATAATATTATTTTTTTAATGAAAATTAGGACAGTGCATGAAATAGAAATATATCCATAATGATTTTAATATGCCTAAGAAGACGTATAATGTTGTATTTTAAGTAATGCCGACATAATTATTATTAAGTCCATCCTTTTAGTTGCAATTAATAAAGTAAGATAATATTGTTTAAACCTCCAAGAACTTCTTTAACTTACAAAAAATAGTATACAAACTAATGTATCAGATACAGGCTCGAGCCTGGCGGGCCGGTAGAGTTCTAAGCCTCTCTCGGTACCGCTCCGCCATATCTTTCGCAAGCATAACTTAACATAAGCTCAATTCGGGGACCTGAAATTACATAGTCCGGGTCCTCCCAGAGTAGGGCACCTGAGGCCGGCCGTCGGGGTGGTTTTTAGTGAAATCACCACATACTCCTGGCACTCGAGTCCCCAAGGAGTCGAAGATCCGAAGGGCTTTTCCAACTTATCAACAAAAAAAAAGCTCAACGTAGTTTAGATGTTAGGAATCATTGATAACTTGCTATCAATGCACACTTTTAACATGTCAAGAATTCATTTCCATTGTGTTGTTTGTTGTAATTGCCTGTGGGTCTAGTGCTTAGTGACCCTGACTGCTAAACCAGAGGTCGTAGGTTCGGTCCCCACCCAGGACAAATAATTGTGTATTGATCACGGCCATTTGTCCTATGTCTGGCTGTAATTTTTCTATAACGTGTATGTATTTAGAAATGATATACGAGTAAGTATGATTTATCAGCAGTCTGGTTACCATAGTAACCAGACTGCTGATATTTGGATGCCCAGTGCCCATGCTATGCCCAGTTTGGGATCAGACGGCTGTGTGTGAGATGTGTGGGGTTATTCTAATTGTAATGTAATAATTTTGTAGTTCATACTTTAGAATTCTTGTTACCTAAAAGGTGTAGTAAAATAAATGAATAAAATGTTGCATTGAATCGTTAAAGGTACGAGACTAAATGGGAGGATATCAGTCATATTGCATATAACCCTCCAAAGGGTACCTTTCGCTCGTAAACAAATTCCTGTACTCGTTTATCATGGATGATGAATTCTTTTCGCATCGCTATCCATTATGATAATATTAGTTTCATAAATAAATTGATATGTAGGGGTATATCACTATACCATACCATAACTACGGATTAATATTTTTCAATTATGTGTTTTTGGTTATGAGAATAACGTAAATAAATACTATTTTTTATAATTCTATTACTATTTTTTAAACTGAAATATGTAGCTTATTAAAGTCGAAACAACAAATCTATAAATACTATGGTATCACATTTTTTTTAGTAAACCATAGTAAAAAATAAATAAGTATCCTGCTATTCACTTCTTCATTACTATCAACTGATATCTTCAGACATTTGTCCAATCTGTAGAACCTATCTGAAGGAATGATTGGGCCAAAATATGAGTAAATTATGACGCGATAGCATTATGGACCTTTGAATTCTCTGATATTTTGACCAGATTCAGTTCAGATTCAGCTTGAATTCTCAGAATCTGTATATAATCATTTATGCATATTAAGTACAAACAGTAAGAAGTAACTTAATAATATATTTTTTAATAATATTTACAGACAGCCCACACACAACGTCATCTAGTTTCAAGCAGAGCTTGTACTAGAAAGATTGACTGATAAAATACTTTTATACTATTTTTTTGTACATACACATACATTATGCATACAAAAAACCCAAACTCCTTAACAAATATTTGTAGGTCATACAAACATTTGATCCGACCCGGTTATCGAACCCGAGACCTCAGAACGGCAGTCGCATACGCTACCACTGCACCACCGAGGCAGTCAATCGAGGTTAAAATTAACTCCCAAGATTTATATACATTTTTAGCTAGCAAGTAAGCAATATATTTTTATTGGGACAGATAATATTAGGTAATTTTCTTTGATCCGTTTACGAAATCATACTGTTGAATCGTCGCCCTCGCTTGTAATAGACCTACAAAATTACTGCGATCACTACGCTCGGATGCCAGCCAATATGAGTTTTACTGTCAAATAAACCTCACTGCAATATTGCAGTGAGGTTCGGACGATGTCGTCCGGACATTTTATGTTCTACACAAACATAAATGGTGGAGCTAGGTGGCTCAACCTTATTTTGCATCGATGTTTATGATTTTCCTTGAAATTTCAATTTATTTATGTTTCAATTTCGAAGACGACTATTGAATATTGTTCGGACTAATACCGGCTGCAACTTTCTGACATCGCAAAATTTTCATCCCCATCACCTGTATAATTGGTGCTTCACCACTGTGCGCTAGTCGAGACACTTTGCCTCGCACAACCAACCTGTGGAACATGTTATCGTCTGCAGTATTTCCGAACCGATACGACCTTCAAGAAAATAGCTTACTCCTTACTAAAAGGCCGGCAACGCGTTTGTGAATTCTGAGTTGCAGACGTTCATGAGCGGCGATAGTCACTTTCCATCAGGTGTCCCGTCCCTCGTCTGCCCCTTTAACATAAAAAAATATTTACAAATATATTTCAAGGGTTTTCTTATTTTAGTTTAAGCAGAATGGTATAATCAATCCAGTACCACTGATTTGACTGGAGCCCGAATCTCCCTTCCCGTGATTCTGGGATGGGATGGCTCAAAGGATGTGACTCTTAAGTTGCAGATGTCCATCGGCGGTAATAGGCACTTACCATCATGTGACACATCTACCAGTTTGCCCTCCTATATCATAAAAAATCAAGGCATATTATTAAGTCTACGTAATTACAATACTATATTTATTATAAGTTTAAATTATATGAAAAGTTATACAACTTACAACCATACTATATTTTCTGGAGGCCTCGGGTTCGATAATTTTTTTTTTTTTTTTTTTTTTTTATTATTTGTTTTTTGACCCGGAAAATTTTATATTTTCTCTGTGATGGAAAAAAGCCTAAGTAACTTTTTATACAGACAGCAAGAGCAGACATAGTAGAATAATATTAAAAATCGGTCCAACCGTCAGACAAAAAATATTTAAAACACTAGCACACACGGGCGGAATTTTCAAGGGGTCGGAATTTTCAACAGACATCGAAACGAAAACGAAACTTTTTCATTATTTGCAAGTCTAATGTATTTTTATCTCATCATAGTAACATCTATTGATCGGTGTACGAAAATAAATGGAAATGTTTATGGGCTTCGATTTGCTGTTTATTAAACGTAAGTATGTATTATTTGAAACACTCAAGATGCGGGCGCGGGGTTCCCAAATATCTTACACCAGGTAAAAGTTTTACGTTCGGGATAAGGTGTATGTCGAGATATTATGGGGCGGCTTAATTCTGGCACGCTGTTATTGCGACGGTAAGACGCAATTTGAAGGATTGGCTTTTGAGGAAACACGGGACCCTCTGATATTGGCTAATACATAGGATCCGCAAAGAGACAACGCCCGGGTTCTGCCATGGCCAGAACGTGGTCATGACGCTTTACACACTATGTCAGTACGCCAGTATGTCCAGCGTGTATGGAGCATGACCTCATGACTGATTGCGACCATGGTACGGAGCAACTAACTTCTCCTGCGGGGCGAAGTGCTCCCTAGCCCTAGTCGCTGAATGATCTCCGACCTGCATAAGATCCGGGCCGGGGTTGACAGGTGACAACGCGACGAGGGAGGGAGCTCCTTTAAGGGAAAACCGTGGTCACTATGCATCCTGCCGGGGTATCAGGGATTTACTTCCTAGGTTACACTTGGTTGCCCGGCTACTGCACGAGATGGCGCAGCGTGCGGTGTTAGGGCCGGTACCGGGTGACTTCGCGGCAAGGCACGGCACGGTAGGGTGTCCTTCGGCAGCCGTAGGATTCTTTGGTATGAAGCAGCATGCCAAAGCATACCGCGTCACGTCGTGGCATCTCAAATAAAGCCCAGCCACTCACTTCTTTTTGTCCATATTTCAATGTGTTTAGAATTCATATTATTTTACTTTTACCTTTTCGATACAACTACACCTACCTACCCAACTACATAATACTTATTCCCAGTCAATCAGAACGACGCAACCAACTTTGTATGACCCCGAGGGAGGCTATACTCCTGTGACTTATGTAACTCGCGGCATATGGTGGCATGATAATCTGAAGAATGAAATGAAGCATGACACGACATGCTGCGGCGTCCTGCAACATACCACAACATGCCTCGGTATATTTGTATCGAAATTAAGTAATTTAATTTCTAAAGTCATTGAAATTAGGATAATAATAACTTGATCGGAAATTAAATTCATTACCACCCCATCGGCTGTCCGGTCGGGGATATCCGAAAGGCAATTTCCGCACAGAAAAAATTTCCGCTTCATTGGTATTGCACGCGGAAGCTCGAACAGCTAACGACGGCCCTACGCTGCCTTAGTGGTGTAGTACGATACGTGAAGTTCGATTCTCAGATCGGGCAAAATTTTATAGGGTTTTTCTGAGAGGATAATTCTTTTTTTTTAAGTTGAACCAGCTCCTAACAATACAAAAAAAAAAGAATTTTAGAAATCCGTTAATATATGACGACGTTATATATATACAAAAAAAAACATCCGAATTGACAACCTCCTCCTTTCTGAAGTCGGTTAAAAAATAGCCTAAGTTACTCCTTATACCTGATAGACAGATACCTGGTAGGAAAATATTATCAAAATTGGTCCAGCCGTTTAGAAGATTACTCGGAACAAACAGACAGACAGACAGACAAAAAAACTGGTTTTTAGACGTAGGTATCGTACAAATAACCGTGTGAGCATGAAAAAACCTTTTATTTTGACATTACAAATAGACACTTCAATTTTATTAATTTGTATAGATATCAAGTCATAAAACTATCAAACATACTGTATTTTCAGCAAATTAATATTTTAAAACGAATTCTTTTTGGTCTCTAGTAATATTTATTTATCGGTCTTCCACGTGGTTCGTTCCTCAAGTCAAAGTTTCCATTACAAAAAAAAGCAAAAAAAAATGTATGGTGTTATTCATTAGTAGTCTCCTCTCCAAACGGAACATTGATATTGCGAGCCGCTTCTGCAGCCTTAGTTTAGGATTTTCTAGGTATTCATCTTTCATGTCTAAGCTGAATAAAAAAAAAACAATTGAAAGTCGAAAATCAAATATTGCAAATTTTAAAAGAAGAATCTTATAGGTATCATGTGAAAAAAGTTTAAACAATGAAGGTTTTATGTCAATTCAAGGTATCTTTTACTATACAACGGCAATTTCATACTTTAACCTCTACTATATTAAATAGTGTTTCTATAAAACTAAAAGAACTGTTTTGCTTTCAGCGTCACCCAACATAAAAGATGAAGAAAAATCCAGTTGCGGACCGAGGATAAAGCGCTGGTGTAAGAGCCGCCGCTGCCAGTTGTGGAGATTACTGCTGCTCCCATTCATTCCTATCTTGGCGCTCATTGTACAGACTACACTATCACTTAAAAGCTCCATCACTAATGGCAGAGACGTGGCTGATGTCGAAGAACAAGTAAGTATCACAATACCATTATTTTTTATTTTATTAGGAATATATCCTGTGTCGCGGAGGACTTTACACACATACATGAAACGGACAGATACAATAGAACACCCAGACTCAGAACAACAAGGCCGTCTGATCCAAACTAGGCAGAGCCTGTACTATGGTAACCAGATTGCTGATAAACATACTTATATATTTCTAAATACATACATATTATAGAAAAAGTACACCCTGATACAGAACAAATGACCGTGCTCATCACACAATTATTTGTCCTGGGTGAAAATCAAACCCACGACCTCTGGCGTAGCAATCAGGGTCACTAACCACTAGACCAACAGGCCAGTTCATTTATGTTTATGGTTACACATTTATGTTTTTTGAATTTTAAGAATCATTTTAGAAATTACTATAGACGAGACGGTAAGGTCTGTTGACATCCCTTGGTACGAGTATTAATCCATTAAAAAAAAAAGTTAAGCCGACGTAAAACAATACCCTCGCGCGGTAACAGGTATTAGCACTAGATATCTTTTAGACTGTTTCAAGTAGGTGACAAGCCAAATAGGTACTTGATAGGCTTGGTAGAAGGTAGGGCGGCAGCTGCAAGAGTCTTCATTCTGCGCTAAACATGCAGATCGAGCCAAAGTGGGTTACGCACATCTCAAATGATATTTTTATTTTGAATGCTTTATTAAGTAGTTGAAAGGTTTGCGCACGTAATTTGATCTGATTGTTCTTTATTAATTAACAAAATTTGCGATGTTTCATTAGAATTATATCGAATTCTTAATTCTATACTGTGCTGTTCTATACAGGGTGACAAAGCCCAGTATTAGGTTTTTTTTAAAATTATATATGTGCATCGGGCTTGGTACCGACTTCAAATAGACTAGAATGGACTATTGACATTATAATGTTTTTCTTCGTATTCAGTTCCACCAAAGGGGAAATATCAAAATACAAAATCCCCTTCCAAATAAAAAAAAGAATTTTCCAAATCTCAAATCTATATATCTCATTATTTTCTAAATGTTTTGTAATCTCATTTATTACTCTTTTTAGGTGTTTGTGTTGGATTACAGAGATATGCGCAATCTCTGTAATCCAACACAAACACCTAATAAATATCTTGAAAGAATAAAATAATGTGAAAATATGATTTGATTTTTGAAAGAGTTTACATTATGCCTCATTTTAAGAGGCAACCCCTACTTTTGTCTTTATTATAATGAGTGATTGATGAAGTGAATACATACATCGTTCCTAAAGCGCCTTTTAATAATTTCCAACTCAAGTGGTTAGGTAACAAAACGGGAACAGTAATAGAAAAATAAAGGTCGAGGTTTTATAATACAATAGGCTTTCAACTTTGTATCCAATGCAATCACTTCAAAGGATCGCTTTCAAACATCGTAGCATAATAAGAAATAACTTTCCTCAAAATTTTGGTAAAATGCAGACATAATTTACATTCGTAAGACTCAGTGGATATTAATAAAAGGAAAAAAAATTTTTATTTAAAAATAATAATGTTTACAGTAATTATTATAATATCAATGAGGACACCACGAACCACTGGTTCCTGAGATTGTCGCGTTCAACCAAACAGACAAACAAACAACTCTCCAGTTTCATACCATTAGTGTATAGGTATAGGTAATAACTTCAAACTCAAACTCACTTTATTTTATAAAATTTTCAAAATTGTTTGAAATCGTCCCCCATGCAGACTCTAAAGTCATAGACCAACACACACAAAAGCAACAATCTCTGTTTTGTCAAATAGTAAGCAAATAAATTTAACAACAAATCAAACCCATACAAAATCTACGATATGCCTGTGCCGATCTACAACCGCCCGTTTCCAAGGGGTTGAGCCTCATGAGAAGAAAGGGCAAACAAACTCATGGCCACCTCATGGCCACTCTTTTGCAATTCACAGGTAGATACAATGGCACTATTAAATATACCACAACATTGTTTTGATGTGATAACTTGATATGTGGACAATGTATAAAAATCTACTAATCTATCAGGACAACAACACTGCAAACAGAAAGAAAACTTGACACAAACACTATACCAACCCGTCTGGCCACCGTAGTATAGTAGGCCAAAACCTCCTTTCTAAGGAGAGGCCTATGTCCAGCAGTGGACTATTAAAGGCTGTTAATGATAATGATAATGAAATGATGAAAAATAAAAATCTATAGAACGTTTATCGGCAATAGAAATTCAATCTAGGCTCTTATAAACAATATTAAAATATGTTGTAAGTTTTATGAAAAATTGGTATTAAATTACTTACGAAAAGGATAAAAACTAACTTTCGTCGTAAAATTTATTCTCCCGCGAAGTACGAAGTTTTTGCTCTTATAATTTTGCAAGGCGTTAAAATAGATGGGTCGGAAAATTTGGCAAATCTTATATCACTGTTGTCCGATTTTTTCCTTTGTATATACGCAATTCCTAAACTGAATGCTATAACTTACAAATTGTAACTTTCTAGATCAACTGGAAGCGGGTTACGCACAGAAATCATAATAATAACTTATTACGATTTCTATCGGGTTACGTGTTTAATCGTCGATTGAAAATCTTATTTTTGATTTTTGGACGCCAATATCTATATAGTATATATATAGTAGGCCAAAACCTCCTTTCTAAGGAGAGGCCTATGTCCAGCAGTGGACTAGTATAGGCTGTTGATGATGATGATGATGATGAATATCTATATAATCATTTAAGCTGTGTTTATAAAATTAATGAAACTAGTTTAACTAGAGAATATATCAGCTAAATTACGGATGTTTATGTTCAATTGTGTTTTGGGTTATGAAGGGTCCAAATATGGGTGTGTAACACGGGTGTTGCTCCCCAGTTCTCTGTTTTTGGCTTGAACTTCCGCGTATATTTATATATATATATATTTAATCTTTATATGTCATCTATAATATGTTTCTCTTACTTTTCTCAAATTCAAATTGTTTATTTTGCAGAAATCACTGTTAATGGTGTTATAAAATTTATTTTTCTTTTCTTTTTGTTTAGACAACTCGTGCATTAGGAATATTTCCTGTGTCGCGAGAGACTTTACAAATATACATGACACGGATACAAAGAACACCCAGACTTAGAACAACAATTACGATACGATTTTATGGCAATTCTAATATCGAACTATTGTTTTCCGACAAACACATAATAATAATAATAAAACAAAAAAAAAATTGTTGTAAATAAATCCACAAATTTGCATATCCATCTCTCTTCGTTAATAAATCATAATAGTGTTTTACTTGAAACCAACGTTTGACTCTCTCAGGACCATGGGAAAATAGCTTAAGAGTCATTGTATGCAGTACATGTTTATGAAAAAGTATCTAACAAACTCGCAGAGAAGATACATTACGATGGGACTTTTGATAGCACCTTACAACTATTTGTCTTAACCATATTACTGTGGCAAAGTTCAAATATTAAATGAGGATAATTTCAAGTAACCTCGTGAATTTTAATGAGGTCTACTATGAAAGAAAGGGTGTAGAATAAAGATACTTTTTTGTTTTCTATGATTCTTTTTTCTCGTTATAAGTTAAAGTATTTTAATAAATAAACACAGGAATAGGTAAATAATTTTAGACGTAGAAAGAGTATTTGCGGAGTTCTCAGTTACTTTTAAATCTTGAAAGTTATTAGATAATTTCTTCACAAAGGAAGATAATAATATAACAAAAAAATTAAAATATTTTTTTCATTGACATTGACATCAAGCTTATATTAATTTCAGAATCCTCTGGCTCCTACACTAGTAGATACTGTGTTGCAGGACCCATATAAGCACCACTGCTTATATGGGTCCTGCAACACAGTATCTACTGCTAGCAGTGTAGCAGGAGAGATATAAGAATAACACAGCAGAATCTTTGTTGATCTTACCTTGTACAAAAGCATAGTTGTAATAGGTTTATGTTATAAACTAGGTTCTCAGCTCCTTATAAAACAATTTTTATCGTGTAAGCACTATCAATACTAAAATTTATAACATTGGCACTAGATTGAGCAAAGCTTTTGACAAACAAAAGATTTTTTCAAATAATTAATTGCGATGTTGGAAATATTTAACCAGTAAATTCTTACCCACAATACGTAAAAACAATTATAAATATAATTATGCATCGCATAAAACATAAAAAAAAATTTTCGTAGTCTGACACAATTATTATTATAAAAGTTATTAATATACATGGATGATAGCTAAAGGGTTGTTAATGAATGAAAGTGCCTCATACATTTTCATGAGGTGGTGACAGGAGCGGCGACCGTTAGCCGCGCTTCTATTTATCAGTTCTGACAATAAATAAATTAGATTTTTAAACTTCATGCAATGGAAAGTATTTTATTATGCAAGTTCTGAGAAGTTTTAGCTAAAACCTATTCTTTTGTATGATCGTTATTTTCTACTGTAATAATGTCTATAACCGTCTTTTTAGTTATAGTTCTATTTTGCAAAATTGGTTACAAACAAACATGGCAGCTTTTGCAATGATATATTTTAGAAATGGCTTATATCTTCAGATCTTACTCATAGCGACTATATACATGTTAGTCGGGTTATAGTTTACCAGATAGTTAGAAACAGGACATTATGGTAAACTTTAGCTTAATCGTAACTATGGAGATTCTTTATCTAATGGCATATCAGAACTCTGTATTTAAGTTATATAGTCTACCACTAGGTATTACCTTGTCAAAGCACTCCCAGTTTTTAACAATGCTTTCCTTGTTTTTCGAACTATATAATTAACATAAGGTAGTTGAGAAAGGTATGAAAATAAATGATTAAATTAATTAAATTAAAAAAAAAATACTATTGAATTAAAGCTTTCCGATCTGGGGTAGTACAAGTTCCCTTAGCATAGTACTATAAAGATTTAAATTATGTTAGAACACTATCATCACAAGAACGAATAATAGTAGAACTGGCTGTAAAGGTTATAAACCTACACCCTACGCGATGATATTAGAGCAATAGCTGGACCACAGTGGATACGAATAGCAAAGATCATGAAAAATCGCAATACTTGAAAGACGCCTTTAACTGAAAGGGGTTCCTAACCAGATATAAAAATTTACTTAAAGATAGATTTTTTTCAAATGAGTTTCACATTTTTTTTAATATTTACTGTAATTAGGGTGTATGTAATAAAAGGGTTTATTATTATCCTACTGTAGGAAATAGAATATGCTTTGGTATTTTTATTATTTTTAATAAGCTTTAATAAGTCTCAAGGTCAACTTGCTAGCATACTGCTGAAAATAGAATTTTAGCATTTGAAATGAAATTAAAGGTGTTTGATTTTATTTTATAATTTGGACAGGTTAGTCGGGCAACTGAACTGGGTAAGCTGGTTACGAGGCTGCAGCAGGAGAGATCTGAAGTTGCTTTCTTCATATTTACCAACGGAAGTACATTAAGGTAAGTGAACGCTTTATAAATGTTTCTTTTCACTTATTAAAATTTATGAGTTTTTTAACTTCATGAAATTCACGTCTTTGATACAATCTAGGCCGTCTGGTCAAAGTAGGCAGAGCCCTTGCACCTACCGACTATTACTTTTTCCAAAATTTAGACAACTTTTAGTGGGTAAAAAATTCAATTCCCGAGAGGCAGTACAAAATGCCTTTGAAGAGTTTGTTGCCTCCCGTCCAGCTGATTTTTACAAGAAGGGCATCAATAAACTGCCAATGCGTTGGCAAAAATGCGTCGATTGCATGGGTGATTACTTCGAATAACAGAAATAAAAAAGTTTGAAAAAATAAGTACTTTCACTTATTGCATACAAAACGGCAATTTCATAGGTAAAGACCTAATACTTACTTAATATAGATAAATTACACCCAATCACAAATAATAATCGTGTTCATCACATTATTATTTGTCTTGGATGAGAATGGAACCCACGACCTCTTGGTTAGTAGTCAGTATCACTAACTGTATACTAGACCAACACCTCAGTCAAGCCATTGCCATTGTCATAAAAATCTCGTATATTAAGAAAAGGAAGATAAAATATATTCCGACAATGAATCTTCTAGATATTTACCCCTCCTACCTTCCTATTCAGGGCTAAAGTCATGAGTCATGAGCATGTCATAACTGAAAAACCACGTGTTTATTGTGTTTTTTTTTTCGTGCAGATCAAATCTATCACAGCGGTTCACGGGGACTAACATCGCTATAGCCCAAATGGGATCCCTTCCTAGACTGATGTTCAAAGACAGATCGAGACTTGTGGATGGGGATTCCTTTGAAGCTGAACTTCAAGAGCTAAGGTATGATATTATATGTACTAATCTCTCTTAAATTTTAGTCGAGTTATTCAACTAATGATGTTCGTGTCTGATATGAGACTCGTTCGTGGATGTTTCCACTCACTCCCTCTCCTTCAGCGTGCCGGAAAGCGGTTGATATACTAATATATTTGAAGCTGAAAAATATTCTTATTTTAGGATTTCTCTGTATGTGTATATAATTATAAATATATACGTATCTTTTATTTAGAAATACATGTTACGTAATATGTTACCTTAAAGTAGGACTAAAATAACAGTGACAAGACGTGGGCGTTTCGAATATGCTTGCCGTTCCCTTTTGGGGTTATCCCCAAATGGAGTAGACAGTGGTAGAGACAGAGACGTGAGTATATTCATATTTTTATTTAGTACTAGCTTTGCCCGTGGCTCTGCCCGCATGTATGTCCGTTATCGTGGTAAAAGCCAATGTCCTTACTCAAGAATCAAGCGCAAATCAGGTTCAGCGTTTGTTGATTTCCCATACAAACTTCCACCCCCTTTTCACACCCCTAAATTATGATGTCTGGGATAAAGACTAGGTACCCTATGTCCTTTTCCGGGACTTGATCTATCTCTATTTTCATCTAAATCGGTTAAGCGTGAAGAGGTAACAGACGAACAGACAGATAGATACACAGACACATTTTCGAATTTATAATATTAGTATTGATTTTTAATGCCTTGTTTGTTTGAAAACGCTAACTTATGAACTATCACTTAGATTTAAACGATTGTTTTCGATATAAAACATAACGGTACAAGCTTTAGGATTGGATCAGTCACAATAACTCAATTGATACTGAAAGGCACGGGTTCTGAGAGATAAATGTGCGTCAAACAAGATTTCACCCTTCTCGGAGAAATTACTGACACGTACAAATATGTTATACATAAATAATGGTGCAACGAGAGCAAGGCCTTAGTACCTGTACAGTCGTAGGAGCAATATATAACGGTGGTGAAATGGAAGAACATTATTTCATCCTGTAGACAAATCGTGTTTGTGAATAATAATACAATAATACTGACTGTCTGATTCCAAGTTGGGCAGAGCCTGTGTTATGGTGACCAGACTGCTGATAAACATACTTATGTATTTCTATATATTAGTGTAGTTTGTATTGCTTGTAATGTCAGTTCACTTTCTGGTGTTTTTAGTGTTTCCACGGCCTACTCAAATGTCCTCGCACTGTTTTCTTTAATTTTGTTTACGGACTAAAAAAAATGACACCTCTGTGGTTTGTTTCAGTGTTTCTTCCCAGAGTGAGTCTTAGGAAATGCCGGCTCCATCTAGCTATAAATTCCGACTTGTAGAAATATCTGAAAAGATTTACTTACAGAAATAAATATAATTTATCATTTATAAATACATATATATTTTAAATAAATAATATCCAGACACAGAAAAAATAATCGAGCTCAATATATAATTATTTGTCCTGGGTGCGAATTAAATCCAACTCCCTGATTAATAGCTTGAGGCACACTAGTCTCTAATCACTAGACAAACCTTCTTAAAGTAAATAATAATAATGTTTGTTTCAAACCCACAAATAAATTACATAAAATCTTGAAAAGATTTAAATGTAAGACATACAAGTGTTTAAATAGTTGCGTTTGAAGTCCAGGTATTTGTGGGAATCAGGAGCCCATACTATGATACCCTGTGCTATGGACTCCTGGCTCGGCCCTCTCAGATTAGGAAATTATTTTTCAGTGTTCACAGTGGGAGAATAAAATAATATACAGGAAATACAAACCTAAAAAAAATCTTATTGTAATAAAAAACAAATTCTAAAATTGTATGATTACTAGTACTACTAGAGTATGTCTGTGTATGTTCTGTGTTATGTTGTGTGTGCGTGCAAATTAATGGATATGTAAAATAAATAAATAAATAAAGTTATGCTTTATTAACCCAAGCCAGTGCCTTGCTTCGGCATTATAGGTTTGCTCAACTAAAGTGACACCACGGACTCACAGAAAACCCGTTGTTTTTTCAATGGGTGAATGGTTGCCGGACTCAAATCCCCCATGTCGATTTTTGTTTTTCGTATTTCCAGGCATTACAGGGTTACCGGGCCAGGTTTATCAGGCAAGGGACAAAAAATTATAGAAAAGGCACCTAGTTTGTCTATAAATAATAGCATTACCTGTAGTGAAAAATAGTAAATAATTTATGAGATATAAAGGGAGAGAAGAAACTTATACTATACAATTTTAGAAACAATTAAAAATTTGTTACATGATTGTGTTAAAACAGAGTAAGATGCCATCGTCGTTCGTAGAACGCATTGTTCGGCCCCAAAAACCTTTCTTTAATTCAAATTACGTACAAAGAACTCTAACATCACTGATGTGCTAGGGTTTAAGTAGCTTGTACCAGGTTGGGTCATTACACTAAAAAAGAAACAAACGTCTAGGGCAAGGTGATAACTTAAAAGTAATTCCTCTCCCCTTAATTTCAATTTGCTGGAAGGGTCATTGCCTTAAACCCTAATAGAATTTATTTGTTAATACCTAATAAAGAAAGGCGATTGGTTTTCCCGACATTTCTTTTAAATTGCCTTACTGCAGGTAAACGGAACGATCTGTATTACTGCCCGATCACAACCTAACCGAGATTAATCGTACAACGTTCTGTTTTATTAACATTTAATGAAAACAGCGAAGTACGATTCCTTAACGGCTATTTTAAATAAGAGCAGTTTTTTTATTTAAATTTATTTTAATTCGTTGTAAAAAGGGGCTCGTATTGACCGGGGCTAGGTATTAAGAGAGTAGTTTAACACAAAAAGTTACAAAGTTAAGCAATCCTGGCCCGATCAGTCTATATAGGGATGACCATTCTTAACACATTGATACCCCTCCGTGCCTCGAAGATCACGAAAAGCCGTCGGCACCGGTTGCCATACGAACATCTTTGGCAATCGATAAGAGTAATTTTTTAATATTTTTTTTTACATTCTACCACATTCACACAACGCCACCTAGTCCCAAACTAAGCAGAGCTTGTACTATGAGCACTAGACAACTGATAAAATTACATATATAGTTTTTTTTTTGTAAATACATCCTTATTATACATAGAAACACCCAGACCAAATCAAACATTAAATGTTCATGTACACAAATGTTTGACTTGAGTGGGAATCGAACCCGCGGCCTTTGGAATAGCAGTACGTTACACAAACCACTATGCCATTCGGTCGTCAAGTAATTGGAGAACTACAAATGTCCGACAGTAGTCTTTCTATAGAACTTAGATATCGCCTAGTAGACGGGTTGTAGAGGTCTGACGGCAGTTGCTTTACGTAAAAAAACGAAGTTCAGCCATATCGTAGTAGAATTAAAGCCGGCTCAAACCTAGTTTGAAAAAACAGACTCGGATTAAGACGAAGGGAAGTTTGATACGAAATCGTGTTATGGTACTCTTTGATAATAATATATTTTGATGATACAGGGGGTTGAGCGAGTAGACCGGTGACCTGGTAGTGATTGACTTAAGCATCCATTTCGATAATTCATTAACAGGAACTTTAGTTATAAAAAAAAAAATGTTTTTATTTATAAACTGAACACAGAACCATCGAAACTTGATACAAAAGTAAACACACAGTAATATCGCCACATCATTTAGTAAGTTAAGTACAATTTTTCTCTCGTCTACAGCAAAGTTTTATAATTTCTTTAACCAATATCCTCCATTGACACCTGCAACTTCAAAATCATGAGTGAATTGCCGGTGCCTTTGAGGTGAGAATACGCTCTTTTTTTAAAGTTTTGCTGGTCGTATCGCTCCGGAAATATCGCACAACAATTTGTTCCACAGATTGATTGTGTGAAGCAAAATGTTGCTTAATATAAAAGAGTTAAAGCTTTCTTCATAAAAACTGAGTTAGTACCAGTACTTTGTTTTTATTTAATGTAAAAAACAACCGCTGTGTTTGTTACTGAGGCTATAACATACGCTCTGAAATTGTTGTTGGTTTTTCTTTTATAACTGTTATAACTTTTATTGTTCTGTCTGAGGCTTAATTGATCTTTTATTCGAGTTTTTAATATACGTGCTTTTTACCAGTTCATTTAGCAGGTGTAACTGATTTATTTTGCCTGTCCTTTGACTAAATAAAATTATAACCGTGTCCGTCTCAAGTTCTTTAATTTGTCGAACTCAAACTCAATAACTTATCAGCACTTGTACATCTCCCATATTAAATTGTCTTTAATTGTTTACTTTTGTAGCCAAATGTGACGATTACAGATAAAAAAGTGAGGTCGTGATGCAGGTTGCACTGCGGCTAATGATATTTATAAAGGTATCTTGTTTTTAGACACGTACATTATTTTGTAATAAAATCTACGGTATTTGCGGACCGATACCTTTTAATAATTTCTTTCCAGACCTTCGAAGTAGATTTAGTTGTTTCATTAATTTATTAGCCTGTTCTTGTAGCCTCGCAAACCACAGGACACTGTCAGCAGTTAATAGTCTCAAATCCGCTTTCCTATCCAAGACATGCAGTATTCCTCACCTCTATTAGTTGTCCTTAGAATGATTTACGCAGTTCCTTTGTCCTATATGTAAATTATCACATTCTCAAGGTGGTAGGGCATCAGATAGGCGACCGACAATAAAATAAATCAAATCTTTGCATCGTTACACCCTCCGTGTGCCTCTAATAACATTGGAAAAGGTCGTAAGGTGATGAATGAAGTAGGTTTCCTCTGAGCGTTCACTGTTATTAAATATACTTGCTAACCCGCACTACTATGTCTACGTCTTTCAGAAGGAATATATTTTTTGACTGCCTTGGTGGTGCAGTGGTAGCCTATGCTACTGCTGTGCTGAGGGCTCGTGTTCAATTCCCAGGCCGGATCTAATGTTTGTATTATCTGCAAATATTTGTTTCGAAGTTTGGGTGTTGGAACGAAGTTCCTTATCGCGCATATACACGCTTTGAGCGGACGTTTTTTTT